TTAATTGGATGAGATTGGTCTTTAGGATGGAATTGACAGAGACATGATTTGTAATCCATGTATAAGGACATATTAGATAATCAATTCCATTGTGGATTCATAACCTATCATATCCTGTTATGTCCCTCATATTTTGACACAACAAATAAAATACTAGATTCAAGTCCATTGTAATTGGTTACAACCTATCTCAACCAACCCTCCATGGTCCTATGAAGCAACTAGGCCTACTAACATAAAGGTAATGCTAAGGAACTATTTAGATCAAATTTTGTAAACTATATGACGTGATTATTAATAATTGAATTATTCCTTAGTGTTGATTAACATGCTCAGTTTCTATTGATGACATATCACATAGTTTGCAGTAAAAAATTGGTTTAGATGACATTACTTAGTAATACAATTAATTAATATGAACTTTAACGAAAAGCTCCCAGTATTGTTCATTTTAACGAAAAATCATATTTTTACACCAAAAAGTTAATCATGTAGTATTCACTTACCCTTTATTTTATTTTTATTGTTAAAACTCAAAATTTTCTAACTTTTTTTTTTATTAGTTTTTGTTTAATTAATTCCGCCCGCTGCCTCTTTTTCTGGGAAAAAACCTTGATGTATGAATCCGGAGACCAAGTCAATTCCAATCCCATTTTTTCATGATGTCAGTTCTATCAATATGCCCATCGTGATATGATTTAATATGATGTCAGTTCTATTCTTCGGCAATAAGCAAGTGACGTTATACTTTTATGTGTTCCGTTCATAAGAAAATTATATCTTTAAATTGTAAATAACAGTATTGATTCATAGCGTTTAACCAAAATCACAAAAGTAAATAAAAACAAACACGTTAAATTCTGATTTATTTACAAGGAAAAATATCTCTATTCATCTACTCATCCTAATTTACAAAGAAAAAAAAAATGATCGTTTCTTTTATGTATGCTTGAGTGATGTAAATTATTGATGTTTTTCATACATCGAGGTCATGAGAATATCCGCATCCAATACTAATTGAGTATCCACTATCATTTACCCTCGAATGCAATTGGATGAACCTTAATTAGTACACCAACTCACCAACTTGCACATGTAACGTTACACAAAGCTGATATGTCATGTGCATGTATATATTTAACCACTAGATATAGATATATAGATGATGACGAACGGACAATTCCAGAAGATTTCATGATGATGACGATCGCAACCGGCTTTGACAACTATATTCAGATGACCAAAGGGCTTAATAATTGCAACGAAAAATTAATAAAATCGTGTTACTTCATTTACACACTTGACTAACACGGTTTAGTCCTTGATAAATAATAGATAATTAAGAGATTAATTAATTTATAAATTAATTAGATCAGCAGACGAAGGCAGCCTGCAGTTCAACTTCTAAGCATTTGCTTTGCAACTTCACTCAAACCAACAAGATTAAGAAAACGAAACATTCAATAAAATAAAAAAAGGTTGTGGGGACTACTCGCTTTCTTAAGATACTTATATATCTTGCCCTGGCAGCAACCTTGAAGAACTCATAAATATAATATCTGTCTTCCCTGCAATCTTTGCTATATATATTGAGTGCAATTGCATTTAAGTTTCTCATTCCGAAAGAGTTCGACAGAGAAAGGGAGGCTCAAAGAAAATCAAAGATCTATATATCTCAATATTCCAACATGACGGTGAGGAAACCACATGGCTTAACCCTTTTCTCACTCTTTCAATTCTGTTTTCATGTCTAAGTTATCATCATGCATGGCGACATATGCTGCTATACCTTTTTTTTTTTAATGAAATAGAAGACCATGCCATCTTAGCTCTTTTGAGCATTGTTTTAAAAGTTCCCGTCTAGCACTGGCTAGGTTTCACCTAGGCATTAGGTGGCTGGTCACAGTTCAGATTAATCACTAGGTGTTTGAAAATTAAAAAATAATGTCTAGAGCCGCCTAGGCACCCGCTTATTTTATGACTGTCACTTAGACAGAAAATAAAAATTTCATTTTGCATTTTTTAAAAATAAATTGTAAGAGACTTGTTGAATACTTGGATGAACACTCATTATATTATGGTTCCCCTTGTTTATAATATGTTATGATATTTTCTAATCTATGTGTCATTCTATTTTTCAATTTATGTATCTCAATACAATTATGTATTTAATTTTTAAATATAAACATGCACTTATTTATACGATATATAATAAGTTTATTTAAATCCACCTAGTATGCTTAGGCCTCCGCTTAGCTGCCTAAACACTAGGCCCCAATCTATCGCCTGACTAGCGATTAGCATTTTTTCGAACCTTGCTTCAAAGTAGGATGTAGGACGTAAAACGTCTACCGTCAAACCTAAAGGTGAAGGGTCCTACCATTGGCCTACATATATAGTTGTACATGTGCTTATTTTTAAAGTTTTGTTGGAATTCTTTTGTCCCACATTGGCCAGAGGGAATGAGAAAAAGCAATTTATAGAGGATTACTCTACTTTAACTAATACCGATACTTTTTGTGATAAAACCTCATACCTGACGGATTGGGCATATGGTAAAGTGGGGAAAATATCGGTGTTGTTGGGGTGGACCCTCGGCCCATCGACCTGAACAATTCTACATGGTATCAGAGTCAGGGGACAAGCTCATACTACCACGTGATTGGGTCCCCCTTTGGCCCCGAGTGATGGGTGAGTCCCGACATGGCTCCAAGTAGGCCAAAGATGCCACATGATTGGGTGGGTCCTCGTTGGCCCCGCGTGATGAGTGAGCCCCGACTTGGCTCCACGTGGTTGCCGATATGTGGATCTCCACGTATGACCCACAAAATGGGGTCTCACATGCGGGGGCTTGTTGGAATTCCTTTGTCCCACATTGGCCAGAGGGAATGAGAAAAAGCAATTTATATAGGATTATCACACTCTAACTAATACCAAGACTTTTTGTGATAACCCCATATCTAATGGATTAGACATGTAGTAAAATAGGACAGTATTAGTGTTGTTGGAGTGGGCCCTCGGCCCATCAACCTAAAAAATTCTACAAGTTTCACATACGGCTGCATGCATGACTAGCGGGTTACAGTTAACAGGATCCACATATATTAATTATCTGGGTTGCCAATATGCACGACATGTATTTTCTTCAAGTGAATGCCTCAACATATTCTTCTCCACCGATTGATCGCACGTTTTAATTAGAAAAATCAATATATATGTGTGCTGTGTTTCACTCTGATCTTGTTTCCTTGCATGAACTGTAATTTTAAAGTTTATTAGTTTTGTGCAGATCGTAGAGATGATTGTGACCATGGACTGTGCTGGCTGCGAGAACAAGATTAGGAGTGCTCTAAAAAAAATAAAAGGTATAGTTTTGTGCAAGTTATTCCTTTTTTCTTTTTTCGCTTTCTAAATATCAGGTCTGGTTGAAACCTTTTCTCATAAATATCTAGATTGTGAGGATGTGAAGAAATGCCTCACGTCGAAAGTTTAAATATCTAATTGTGGCTCAGTTATGAACCGTAGTACTGTTATAAAATTAATTAAAACTAATTAAAGAGATTAACAAAAGAACAAGACCAAGACTTTTTCCTTACAACTAAGGTCCCAGATAACCACTCCCAGTAGCAGGTTGGTTAATTATGTATAATTAATTAACAACATGATTAGTATTCAAACTAATTATTATTATTATTAATTATTATTGTGATTCTGATATAATTATATATATGTGCCTGCAGGAGTAGATGCTGTTGACGTGGACTTCAACATGCAGAAGGTGACTGTAATGGGATGGGCAGATCAAGAGAAGGTTTTAAGGGCAGTGAGGAAGACTGGAAAGAGAGCTGAGCTTTGGCCTTACCCTTACAACCCTCAATACCACAGCATTGGTCTTGACTACTACCAGCAACATCAGCCGCTTGATCATCATCACAATCATCATCGTCATAAGCATCATCATGACCGTCGGATTACTGCCTACCAACTTCCCATCACTACCTACAAATCAGTACCTAAATCCTCCTCCTATTCATACAACTACTACAAGCATGGCTCCACTAATCAGGAACACGGCTACTATCAACCTCCCCCTTATTCCACCATGTTTAATGAGCAGGCCACTGCTGTGTTCAGTGATGAAAACCCTCATGCTTGTTCCATAATGTGAATTAATTCCGTGGTGTCCCTTATATTCTGGTTGTTCCGCGACCCTTTTTTTTTTGCGGCACCTTCAGTTTGAAGAATATATATGCTTATGTCAGTACGTAGCTTATGCGCGTGTATACTATGCAGAGTTATCACTGCACAGGTCTCGTATTTGATGACGAGACCCATCTCAATTTACAGTTCATGTTGTCGTGGGCAACGATGTTTGTATCATAACTTTAGTTTGAAAGTTTTCTTCACTGCCCTTGTGAATAGGATAGAATCATGGATATCATATTAGAGTTGTGTAATATTTGGTTCCTGGTTTCCTTGTGTGATTTACATGTTATAATATCAAAAGGCTATTGGTTCTAGCACCTTTCTTTTTAGCCTCACGCACTCTATTTGTGAGTTATGATTAAGAGAAGTGTCAAATTGAATGATAAAATCTAAATGCACCAATCTCCTGTAAACACAGTGACAAATGAAGCTTCAGAAATACTTTAGGCTCATGACATGAACAACTACACATGAATTGTGTAAATAAAGATGTTTTCAATGATCGTAAACAAGGAGGTCCAACGCCTGCACGTAAAAGATTAGAGAAAGATTAGCATGATTCACACACCTACTTTTACTCAAAACACATTCTTCTTAATTTTCGATCATTGAATCGAATGAATTGAAAAAAATCAATGATAATAAATTAATGAGTTGATTGTCTCGTTTATTTTTGCACACATATCTTCTCGTGAGAGAAATATTATTGTGTCAATTAACGGATTAAACTCATAGAATTAAACTCCAATGAGGAAAATGCAAGAAACAAAACTACAACATATCAAGAGCCGTACGAGACAGAGAGGAAGAAAGAGACATGGGCGTTTGCGTACCCGTATCTCTTGTCACAGCAATGATAACCACGTTATGGCGTCGATGCTGACTTCCCTCCCTTTTGATTCAACCGACAAATTAGGACCCCCACTCTCTCTCCTCCCCTCTCTCTCCTCTCTCTCTGTATATATATACACACACACACATGGCGTCCGTTTCTCTGATTCACCCGCGCTTTGGGCACTTACCGAGTTTCAGCTGCAATCGGCGAAACGACACCCAAGGACCTTTAGGGACCTCCTCCTCCTGTTCGTCGTTCGGCTTCGGTTCCGGTAATCAATTCTCTCTCTCTCTCTCTCTCTCTCTCAACCAATTTTCCTGGGAAATTTTGAGATTTTTCGTTCAAAGGTGTAATATTTGCTTAATTATCCTCGAATTAACGGCATTCGATAATATTAGAATTAATTTGTAGTGTGATTAGAATCGTCCTATTCGATTTTTAGGACGATGTTCTATACTAATCTAGTTTATAACATAGAGAATTTGAACCGTGTTGACCAACTGGCCTAACCCACGTCCGTCAAATTCTTGTAGATATTATATTGCAGGCATATGTGGTAGTTGGAGAAACCAAGGCCTTAGGGCTCAAGCTATGACTAGTCAGGGGAAATTTGGATCCTCCAGGGGTGTTGCAAATGCGGAGAATAAACCCGATCATCTTCTCGTCCTTGTTCACGGCATCTTGGCGAGGTATATCTTGCTCCTGATCTCTGTTTGTCATTGTAATTGCTTCTTGTTTCCATAAAGTTTACGCCTTTACGGAAAAGTTAAGTTTTTTTTACTTTTCTTCAAGCAAATGGCAATGACAAAGGAAAGTTAGGTAGAGGGTTACGTAATGTGCTTAATTTTGTATTAGATACATTGGTTATCTTTGAGTTCATTTTCGTGCTACTTACTACAATTTTCGGATTCCACATGTTAGACGCTTCCTATAGCTCTTTCAGCGGTTCATTGCTTTTGAAATTTTGTCTCCTTGATGCATTCCTTTGGCTACTTATTTCACCAAATTGATATCGAGTTAACTGATTCTTAGTAATGCAGCCCGAGTGACTGGACATACGTGGAAGCGGAGTTAAAAAGGCGTCTAGGAAGAAACTTCTTAATCTATGGTAAATTTATCTTATTTACTTTAATTCAAATATGTGAATTTTAGAATTTCCAAGAACAATAAGTAACAGAGTAGTATAGTACCACTCAAAAGATAGTTGCTTGGTGTTTGTTGACAGTTGTCAGACTAGGAAGACCGATGAGGGTTGGGGGTCACTAAGATGTGACTGATGACGATAGTATACTTCACAAATCAGAATGCAGTTGATTTCCCTGTTTCTGAAGTGCATGAATTCGATGTAGGCTGTTAGTCTGTGAGTGTTAACATCGTGGTTCATGTATTTGCAGCAAGTTCGTGTAACACGTACACCAAAACTTTTTCTGGTATTGATGGAGCTGGGAAACGATTAGCAGATGAAGTGAGTTTTGAAGTTTATGAGCCACTGTTTAAAAGTTTTGTGCTTTAAGTTTGGTCGGAAATAGCGAAATATAGTTGCATAACCTTGGCATTCATGATAAACAGGTTATGCAACTTGTACAAAAGACAGAGAGCCTAAAGAAGATCTCATTTTTAGCCCATTCTCTAGGGGGTTTATTTGCAAGATATGCAATTTCTGTCCTTTACACACTCAACGACAGTGCCAGTTCAACTACTGCAAATTCACAAACGGCATACTCATTGAGACGGGGAAAGATTGCTGGGTTAGAGCCTATTAATTTTGTAACATTGGCAACTCCACATCTTGGGGTGCGAGGGAAAAAGCAGGTCTGTATATCATCTTGATTTCATTATATCTACTAATTGATACCAGTTTGGACTCTACCGATGTGCCATACTTCTTGAGAAGGTCAAGGTTTACTGTAAATATAGTACTAATACTGAGACTTTGAATGCGAGCATGGTAAATTGTACCAATTACCGAAGTAAATTGTTGACCGTGTCTTCAACTCTGCTGTTGCATGATGAATTAAGATCGCTGTAACAGACTGATATACAGTATATGGATATACTTCAACCTTACCTTGAAATATATTCGAATTATTTTGATTTTCGTTTTCTGCAGCTTCCATTTTTATTAGGAGTACCTTTCTTAGAAAAGCTGGCTGCACCAATCGCTCCTATTGTTGTTGGTCGAACCGGTAGTCAATTGTTTCTCACCGATGGTAAGCCTGAAAGACCACCACTTCTTCTGAGAATGGCATCCGATTGCAAAGATGGGAAATTTTTGTAAGTAGAGCTTCTATATTACTTTGGGCAAGCCCACTTTTTCGCCAAACTTGTGTAATGGTTCTAAATTTATAATACGTTTCATTATGCAGATCTGCTATGGGGGCATTCAAATCTCGGATTATCTATGCAAATGTATCTTATGATCGTATCCTACTGCATATAATCCATTTTTTCTTACCGTACTTGACGAATTTATTAGCTTTTAACTCCTTAGTCCTCTCTTCAGTATATGAATTTCTTTAAAACAAACAGATATGGTTGGTTGGCGCACATCGTCCATTAGGAGGGAGACCGGAATTTTTAAGGTGACAGATCACTCTCTCCTTGAAATGACCCAGTTATTTAATGGCCCGCGGCGAAGCCACTCTTGTTAAATGAATGTTTTTATTCCTTGCTAGCTAAAACAGAGCATTTGTTTGGTACTTCTACGGTGACAATTAGTGATTAGTTGACAGGGCCAAGGAAATTATGATCAGTAAATGGAGTTATTAAAATGATGAGTTTTTTTACCGTTGTGTTTTATGTGTCAATCTGAATATTTCTGAATTTCATTGGCAGCCCCCTCGCCGGTCTTTAGACGGGTACAAGCATGTTGTAGACGTGGAGTACTGTCCTCCAGTTTCATCTGAAGGTCCCCATTTTCCTCCTGAAGCAGCTAAAGCAAAGGAAGCCGCCCAAAGCGAACCCAACATACAAAAGACATTGGAATATCACGAAATTGTAGAAGGTACCAAAACTCTATAAATGGTAACAGAAGTCCAGGATGGATTGGTTACTGATGAAGCTTAACCTTTACCGGTGAACAGATGAAATGATACGGGGTTTGCAGCAAGTAGGATGGAGAAAAGTTGATGTCAGCTTTCATTCGGCGTTCTGGCCCTTCTTTGCCCACAACAACATTCATGTACCGCATCAATTCATCTTTCTCTTGAGGAGGTTTTCATTCTCTCTGTTGCCTGGTTTTCTAAATCGATTACCGTCTGTGAATCCAGGTGAAAAGTGAATGGCTTCACAATGCTGGCGTCGGGGTGGTTGCTCACGTTGCCGACAGCCTGAAGCAACAGGAATCCTCCTCCTCATTCATCACTGCCAGCTTATAGCTTCAAATCTGTATGTAATATAAGTGCAGTGTAGCTGAAAACATGTAGAATAAGTTAACCTCACCATTTCACATTTGTACATGTAGCAGGCAATGTGATCGATAAATGTAGTTCGCTAGCTTCGATCTTGCGAAAGAGAGGTTTATAATAAAAAGAAAACTAATGAAAAAAGTCACTTTGAGTTTTAACGATAAAGATAAAATAAAAGGTAAAGTAAATTGTATCAGGATTGATTTTTTAGTGTAAAAATTTGATTTTTCGTTAAATTGAACAGTACCGAAAACTTTTCGTTAAAATTCTCTATATAAAAAGACTTGTTGGGAAAACTAGCAACATACTAAACGCAGAAACTTCAGTTGCAAGTTGCAATTTACATGATTGGATATTATTATTATTATTATTATTTATTTATTTATTTATTTTGCCTTTCTAAATAACCAACACCATCGATTCTTTTGAATCAACGAGTATGCAAATCACACATGCGAATATAAATTATTAAATAAAAAATAAAATTGTCTGCACGAGTGTTAAATTATGATTGACGGTTAGGTAGAAATTACTACTTCCGAAAGAAAAAAAAATTTAAGACAGAGAAAATGAAAAATTACAAATTTAAAGGACGTCAAAAGAAAAATGGAAAATTGGAAAAAGGTGCATCGTTCAGCTTAAATTCCACGTTCAACTGTTTTCCGCCGCCATCAAGAACAGGTCTATTCCACGCGCCCCGCCTAAGCCGCAACTGATATTCTCACGAAGCCAAAGTTTCGAGTCACGCGTGGGTATTGTATGTGGGGTTTTGAGCCGGACCGGTTCGGGCGTAGACGTAATAAATTTTTTTTTTAATATGATCGGTACATAAATAATATCTTTATTTTACTATATAAGAATACGTAAATTAAAAATTAATAACTTAAAAATAAAATTTTCTGTTATTTCTATAAAAATAAATTATGTACCCCACGTTCCGTCTAAAAATTTCTATACGTAGTGGGAGAGCGGGGCCAATCCGGGGCCCTCCAAACCGGTCCTCACCCACCCAACCACACCAAACGATGTCCCACGCCTTTTACATAGAACAGTCATTCTAGAGAGAGAAAGAAGGAGGAGAGAGAGAGGAACCTTCAGAGCGCACGGAGACTAGAGAGAGGAAGAGAGGAAGTAGTGAGAGAGTGAGATCGGCCATGGCTTCCCCCAAAGAGAGAGAGAACTACGTCTACACTGCGAAGCTCGCCGAGCAAGCTGAGCGTTACGATGGTAGCATCTCATCCCTTCACTCTCTCACTTATTTTATTTTTTAATAATTTTTTTCGCTTCAAAATTCATGAAACCAAAGACTTATACTCTGTTTGTCTACTCAGAAAATCAAAGAAACCAGAAAAAAAGGAGATCTGAGCGTTAATTTCATAATTTTTCATGGAATAAGGGTTTTGACTTGCATTTACTTTACCTTCTGCACCTTTTATTTGCAGAAATGGTGGAGGCGATGACGAAAGTAGCGAAACTTGACGTGGAGCTCACTGTGGAGGAGCGGAATCTGCTTTCGGTCGGGTACAAGAACGTGATCGGAGCTCGCAGAGCTTCGTGGAGAATTCTGTCGTCGATTGAGCAGAAGGAGGAGGGGAAAGGGAACGATCAGAATGTGAGCCGTATCAAGGAGTACAGGAAAAAGGTCGAGTCCGAGCTCTCTAGCATTTGCAGCGACATCATGAGGGTTATTGATGAACATCTCATTCCGTCGTGCACTGCTTTTGAATCCACTGTGTTTTTCTACAAAATGTGAGCGGTTTTTATGCTTTCGATTGAGTGTTTGGAGTGGTTAAAGTATTTGTCTTTTGAATGGTTTATTTTGTGTAATTGCAGGAAAGGAGATTATTATCGCTACTTGGCGGAGTTTAAGACTGGTGATGACAGGAAAGAGGTTGCTGATCAGTCAATGAAAGCTTATCAGGTATCATACGAGATAGTCTTTAATTTATCAACTCTAATCAGTCAATTAAAGTTTTTGGCGTATGCGCTGTTTGTTTGCTAAGAAGTATGAGGGACTCGAAGAGAAAAGAAATCAGCTTTATTAACTATTTGTTGCTCAAACGAGCAAAAAATAAAACTGATATCTGATGTTAATGTTAGTGCTAACTAAACTGGTATCATCTCGTGTTGAAAATGACTAGTAACACTATGATTCCAATGGAATCATTCCATTGCATTATGCTGAAATTTAGTGTCAAGACATGGTAGCGATGCTGGCTCTTGCATTGAACTACGTGATTTAGTGGTGTGGCTGGCTATATCTAAGTATTAGCTTAATTTTTTTCGTTAGATTACCATTGATTTGAGATGTACACTTATCGCCCTTGGTCACACTTTGAAGTTGCTCCCTTTTTTCTGAAGCAGCCTGTTATTGAAATGAGGCGGCTAGGTCCCTTTTCTCCCTTTATCTCACTTCTGACTGTTATAATTTGGATTTTGCATCTGTCTGTTATGTCTATCTATTTTGCAGGCAGCTTCTAGTAAAGCAGAAACTGATTTACCCCCCACACATCCCATCAGACTGGGTTTGGCCTTGAACTTTTCTGTCTTTTATTATGAAATCTTGAACTCTCCGGAAAGGTATGCGTGCTTATGGTGACCAAGATTCACAATATCACATTCTTTTTCTTCATTTTGGCCAAAAGTAAAATTAGAAGAAAAGAATTCTTATTGGTTGCGTATTGGTAACTTGCTCCAGGGCATGTCACCTTGCAAAGCAAGCTTTTGATGAAGCTATCTCAGAATTGGACACTTTGAGTGAGGAATCATACAAAGACAGCACCTTGATCATGCAGCTCTTGAGGGACAACCTTACATTGTGGACCTCTGACATTCCGGAGGATGGAGGTAATGAGATAGCCTTATGGAGAATGTTATGTTATGTGGTGGAATTTTTCCTGACTTGTTATGTGTAGTTTCATCAAGTCATGCGATGCTTGTTCTTGATTACTAACTTTTGGATTATGGTTTGAGAAATGAGTATATGAAATTGTGATTGTGAGATGCTTGTCCCACTTTTAGTATATTACAATCATCAACACAATGAGAAAAATTAATAGTTGAACAATTTCTTCACTGGAAACTGAAGATCAAGTAAAATGTGAATTCGACAGGTTGGTTTCCAATAAATTATGAAGGCGATTCTCATATTCTTATGATTCAATTAGACGTTACATCTAAAAACATACGTTTTGTCTTGTGAACGTTGTGTGTTATTATGTGTCATGGATGTGAATTGTGAATATGTTTCCCTTTTTGTGTACCAGCTTGAGTCTAGTAAGATGTTCAATCGCCTTTCTGTTTGAATTACATTTAGCTCTGAACAATACAGAGTACTTGGGTTTATAGTATTCACGTGTCCTAGAAATTTGGTCGATTATACTGAGAGATATTGGATATTAATCTGATACTTGCTACAGGCGACGATATACAGAAGGGGGATGGCTCTGCTAAACCTGGAGGTGAAGATGCAGAGGTATAGCTTATTTCGGTCATCCAATTACCATCATTTTGTACCTTCATTTTTCGGCCATATCTATCAAGCATTGTGTTATAGTTATTTGGTTTCTGGGTCTTCAACGTCCTTAGTTTCCTTTTTCTTTGTGCAGTGAATGGAAGCGGCCTAGGGCTGGCCAGGGCTTGTGTAATTTTACGGATGGAGAAAGTCGATGCAAGGTCTCGCTTCTTTCTTATGGTGTTTGTTTTTAATTTTTCGCCAGTGAGATTCTAGTTAAATGTTGTTGTTCTGCTAGTAGCATTTGCAACTCCGAAACGCCGAGTTCATCACTGTGACTTAATGTAAAAGCTTTCTTCTACACATCCAAATTTCAATCCTCTGTTTGTTGAGAATGGGATTTGTCTGCTGAATGTTTAATTTGTTTTCTTCGACTGTCTGCGTCCTTTAACTGGTGGGGGGTTTTATGTGACTCGATAAATCATAAAATTAGGTTTAACGTTCTTTCGGAAAGATGACCTACACATTTTTTCACAACTGTGAGATATTACTCACCGGATTTCGTCGGTTGTGCGAAATCCTACAAAAAGAAAAAAAAAAAAAATATATATATATATATATATATATCAAAACTTATTTTTGTGACATTTTTGCCGCGTTATAGCTTCTAAAATTAAGAAACATTCTATATGTTAAATCATCGTAAAATCTATTTTCGTGAAACTTTTGACATACCATAAGCTTCTGAAAATTTGTGTAAAATGTTTTTAAAATGTTAATGCCTACCGGATTCCACTCTGGTTAGTAACTAATTGCATTCACCAACACCGTTATTTAGAGCATCTCCTATGGAGATATGCAAAACTATATTTATGTCTCGTTTCACACTTTTGGGAGATATAGATGGGAGTTCTACTCCAATGGTAGATACATAAGTTTGAAATCCATTTAATTTTCTCTCTTTGATCGTGGTACTCACCACCAAAAGATGTAAAAAATATGGGTGCATTTTTGCTTACCATCCTTAAGTGGTGGTAATACTCACCATCATATTTGTCACCATTGTATAAGTTTAATTTTTGAGATTTATGTATATACACTACCCATGTCTCGAAATTTAAACTCATCTAACGATAATAAATACGGTGATGAGCAAAAATATGCATATTTAGGCTTTTATGTTACATTTTTCAGTCAAGATGTATATTTTACATCTCGCCATTAGAGAATTTTCCGGCCACTAAAAATGTAAAATACTCATTTTAAGGGATTTGCATCTTCTATTTGAGATGCCCTTAGGTCTTTCAATATTTTTTGAAAATAAAATAGAATTGAAGACGGAGAGAATTTCAAGGAGCAAAGAGCGAGTCAAAATAATTACCTTAACCACAAGTAAACAGGGTAAGAAATGACAACCCCAGAAAAATAACCTGCCAACTGGAAAACCAAATAAATCCCCCCAAAACATTCCTTCTCTTCTCCGTATAAAAAAGCGATCCCCCTCTCATCTGCACATATAAAGTCCTCCTCTGATATCCAAGCAAGAAAGAAAAAAAAACAAGCACGAATACGATGGCCAATTCTAATAGTATTGTTCTTGTCTCTGCCCTTTGCTTCTTGTCGCTCATCGGCGTCGCCTACTGCGCCGAGACCCTCAATGTGCACGGCATTGTTTATTGCGATAATTGCCGCACGCAGTTCTTTACCAGAATCAGTGAGCCCCTCACAGGTACGTATGTTCAACCTATAGTACCTGACACAGTATCTATATATAATTACAAGTTACTAAATATAAAACAAACTAGATTGATACTCGAAATGAGAATTTTATTTCTCTTCCCTGACATTGCATTGCATGCATGGAATGGTACGTACGTGCAGGTGCAAAGGTGAGACTGGAATGCAGAGAGAGTGAAGGGGGAAAAGTAACTCTAACCAAAGAGGCAGACACCGAGGAATTAGGAACTTACTCCATTCCGGTGGAAGGAGACCATGAAGAGGAGGTTTGCGAGGTGATCTTGGTGAAGAGTCCCAAGGAGGACTGCAGCGAGATCAGCAACGAGCTTCATGCGAAGCTCAGCGCGAGGATCAGCCTCACGAACCACAATGGCATCACCGGGCCTCATCGCATGGCGAACCCTCTCGGTTTCATGAAGAAGGAGGTTGATCCTAGGTGCGCTGAGGTCCTCAAGGAGCTCGGACTCACCCCCGATGGCGACCTTGTTGACGGCGCACCTGATGCCGCTCCTGATGGCGCTGCTGAATAAGCCATCAATAATTTTACGTACTGCAGAAAACCGAAGGGAATTGATATCCCAGCCTTCATTTTTCGATCATGTGTAATCAATAAATGGGTTTTTTATTAATTTCCCCTACTAATCCAGACGTGATATGTATGAGAAATTTAAATTATACATCGATCTATCGATCTGCAGTAGTAGCACTTAATTTAGGGTAATATTTTTCTCAAGGTTTCCTGCGATATTCTTCAAATCTCATGTGATCAGCTACTACTCTCTTTTTTTTACACATATAATCTATATATTACCCAAGTTACATCAATTTTGTCATAAAATTCGAGCTTAAAATGGAATAATAAATTGGTTTCGAACTCGTTATCTATTATATTTGAACAAAAAAATTTGTCAGTTAAAATTACAAATGAAGAATAGGAAAACAGATATGCATAAAGAGAATCAATCCTCATGCTAATCAAACATAAAGGTAATATGGTTATCAGTAAATAAGTATTTGCCAGAGACTTTTCTAAGGTAAATTTTTGCGCATGGATTTTTTTTTTATTTTTTTATTTAATGATTAAAAATTAAAACGATTGTGTGGAAAATAAAATAAGAAGTGTGGATGACACCACCCTTCTAATTTCTCCCTCAAACTCAACTGAATAATACATCTAAAATATAAAGGTAATATATAGTAACTAAACAATCATTTCTATAATTATTCTTTTCATCATTACGTCACAAATCCTAAAAAAAATTGAGAAGTCAAGTGTAAACCATAACATCTCGATCCATGTATTATAATATGAATGAATAATATAAAGAAATGTTTTAGTGTTCTCAAAATACAACTATATGATGTTACTATTGCACGTGTTATAATATAAATGAACCATAATGTTGATATTTCTTACTTTTACAATATATTAATAAAGCATTAAAAAGAAACGCATCTGGTATAATCTGAGTGAAATAATAATATACATTACAGTTTTTTGAGTATATTCAAGTTATTCAACAATATAATTGATATTTTATAAATTTAAGTTTTTTTAAAAGTGAGACTAGGCCCTGTCACTTCATATGTTTTTGCTTAATATTTTATAATATTAATATAAAAATTAACCTTAAATCGTAAAATGACTGTCAGATAACATAAAATTTATAAAAAATCACACTTTTGAAAAAATCTGCTTAACAATTCTCGAGAAATTAATATCGAATTAATACTGACGTGACCGTAGTCCACTGAATGACCCATAAACCGAAAACTAACCCGATTAATATAAAAAACCGGGTGCCCACCGCCCAAATCACATAACCCGCATACGAGAGAAGAAGGCAAACCCACCTGTGCCATTTTACTACCCAATTGCCCCGCTCCTTCAATTTGCCGCCGCAACCCCGCCGTCCGTGCAGCTCTCTTTCCCTTCGGCTGCTCACTCACTACGAACTAGTACGTTCCTCTTCTACCATTCAATTTTCCTTTATTTTTCTTGTTCGTCGAAAAATTAAACTATTGAAAAAGTTTCAATTTTTTAAAATTTTAATTGTATCAATGGAAGGCAATGGCGGCAAGGGCTTCCAGAAAATTGCTGAGAGACTTTTTGTTCAAAAGGGCATGCGCAGCTCCTGCTGCAAGTGCCAGACATTGTTCTTCTGCTGCTCAAACTGCTCCAAAGATTCCACATTTTTCGAAGAAAGTACGCTCTCTCTCTCTCTCCTTTTTGTTGCAAATAGTTGCAGAGAAACGTAAAGTGTTATTTTTTTCCAGTAAATTTGCAAACCCATCTCGCCAAATTGGTGTTTTTTCGCTTTTGCTTGCTCACGGTTTAGTCATTGGTCGATTTTTGTTTGATTTCTGAAGTGGTGTGTGTACTTATTTTAAACTGTAGGGGAGGTTGTTGACGGCAGCCACCTTAGGCTTAGTTATCGGTGGCGGAGCTTATGTGAGCACTGTGGATGAAGCAACTTTCTGGTATCGAATTTAAATTTTCAAGTAGAAGTTATGCTCTGGTTGCATTTAAACTTTCTTCTGGTTTACGAGTGGATGGTGTTCCGGCATCTATGTTTATTTACAATGACTACTATCTTAACCTAGCATTCTATGAATGAGTAGATTATAGTCATAACAGATTTAGAATTCTCTCAAGGTTTCTCTTGCTAAGTTTATAGGCGTCTTGAAGCATTAAAGAATAAACCCTTTGTATCCTGCAATGCACATTACTTATTGGTCAGAGTGTAAGGGTGAAGCCTTTAAGCTTCTGTACAAGATACTTGTATCTATTTCTTTACGGGTCTAACTAGGCACGTAAAGGATCAGCACTTAATTCTCAGTTCAGTTATCTTCGTATTTTCTTTTGCCAAGATGGTATTCCTCCTCGTCATAATGTATGGGTCTTGGTGGATGCACAAAAGACTGAAATTGGAATTTCTTAACTCATTGCTAATTTGATGGTACCCATCGGATATAAATTATGAATTGCCCTTTTGTTATGTTCTGCATCATTCTTGGCATGGCCATAAGGTTTTTTATCATTATTCTAGTGTGTACTTATTTCAGTGCATGAAGCAGAAACCATATGAGAGAAATTGAATTGCCATTTTTTCTCATTGTTGAATGGCTTAAGTTTTTGGGAAATATTGAGCTTGAATTTTAGTTACATATAATGCTAATTTTTGGATATCAACTTTTTGAAGTGGCTGGCTATTCTCTGCTACAAAAATTGTGAATCCATTCTTCGCTCTTCTGGATGCTGAGACAGCTCACAGATTGGCTGTCTCAGCTGCAGCACGTGGTTGGGTACCTAGAGAGAAGAGACAAGATCCATCAAATTTAGGGCTAGAAGTTTGGGGAAGGAAGTTCTCCAACCCTATAGGTCTTGCTGCTGGCTTTGATAAGAATGCTGAAGCTGTTGATGGTTTGCTTGGTTTAGGCTTTGGATTTGTAGAGATTGGCTCTGTAACCCCTGTTCCACAAGAGGGCAATCCAAAGCCTCGAATCTTCAGATTGCGCGAGGAAGTGTAAGAGTATATTTTATAAATTTATATTCATCTTATTATGTTAATAAGGACCGAATTTCCTCGAATTTGTTGTGTTGAGTCACTTTTAAAGGTGGTGTAGGTTCTTTAACTTCTGAAAGTTTTCTTTCTGATAAGTTGGGCTGGTTACATTTAATTTTCTAACTTATGTGTTATCAAAATACCTGATTTTGTGTTCAGAGCTATCATCAATCGATGTGGCTTTAATAGCGAGGGAATTGTAGCTGTTGCAAAGCGATTGGGTGCTCAGCACGGTAAGAGAAAGTTGGATGAAACTACAAGCTCATCTTCTTCAGGTGAAGAAGTCAAACCTGGAGGCAAAGCTGGCCCTGGCATACTAGGCGTGAATCTTGGGAAGAATAAGACAAGTGAAGATGCTTCTGCAGATTATAGACAAGGGGTTCATACATTGTCCCAGTATGCTGATTACTTGGTAGGTTTCTCTCTACTGATTTTTTTTAGTTTAGTAATTGTTCTGTTTTTATGCTAAGTATTGGAATTTTATTCATGAAAGAAGAAAAAAAGTCTTCCAGATCTAAATTGTTCGTTCTTTTAAAAAGAATTCACTTTTGTGTTTGCTACTCACCAATGCATCAACTTCATCATGGTGCCTATATTAGTGTGCTGTTTTCGTGGCCAAGATCTAATAAGATATGTTGCTATTGTGTTGGTTCTCCATGCAGAAAAGCAATGAGAGATGCATTTGAATAGGCTTCCTGCTTGCGGTCTTTTAGTTGATCGATTCATTTGAAAGTTGCATAATTTCATACCATCTTTAGGCTATTCTATCAGATCTCACAAATTATGCTATAGGTATTCCTTGTCTGGCAACAATGACCTAAAATTTTTTAGGAATTTTCGAGTCAATGTTTTTTGTTTACTAGAGATTTTGAAAAATAATAGCTTTAAAGGTCAGGTGGGGAGCAATATTTAGGAAGTCCAATTTTATTTCCTTGAATAGGATATAAACAATCAAACTTGTATCTGGAAATGGCTCAGATTAAATTTTACAAAAAAGTAAAAGCTGTTCAACTTCAGCTGTAAAGCTGAAATCACAGTCAGTTGAAATTTGTGATTGCTGAACATCCAATTACATGTGATGATACATAATCTTCCATGACTCTTTATATTATTCCTCAGAAGTTAAGTTGTCGGTAATAATTCCCAAACTAGAAGCAATGAAGTTTTAGTTTATGTGTATATGTGTTGAGTTCAATTCCTGTTGCATTAATTCGACCATACTTATGCTTTATCTGTCTGCAGGTGATCAATGTTTCATCACCCAACACCCCTGGGTTACGTATGCTTCAGGGAAGAAAGCAGTTAAAGGACCTTGTGAAGCAGGTATGGAGCTCAACTGCTCAAGGCATGAATTTTCTATCTATATATTAACCAAAACGTCTGAACAAGTTAGCCCTTGTAACACTTTCTTCCTATCAAGGTTCAAGGTGCTCGTGATGAAATGCAATGGGGTGAGGAGGGGCCTCCTCCATTGCTTGTGAAAATTGCTCCAGATTTGTCTAAAGAAGACCTTGAAGATATTGCTGCAGTATGCATCCATGCTCGTAATTGATTTTCTTATTCCCCCCATTAAGATGGTTTTCTCATGGTTCTTTGTTTATGGATATAGGTTGCCCTTGCCCTTCGCTTGGATGGATTGGTATGTTTTCTTCCGGTCACAAACTTACCTATTATACTAGATTAGTATATTATATACTTAATAAGAATATCTAATTAGTCCCTTTCGTTTCTAAAGAAAATATAGAAAATTAACTTAAGTCAATTCATGCTGGGTGTTCTGCATGTTGATATGTTGATGAGGTTATGATCTCACATAACATATATCTCTCTCTCAGTATATTGATCTATACTTAAATTCAGTGCAATTTCTTCTATTCTTTACGATGTTTATTTACTTTTTCTTCTAGATTATATCAAATACAACTGTTTCAAGACCAGAATCTGTTAGTAAACACCCGTTAGCTTCTGAAGCTGGTGGCTTGAGTGGGAAGCCACTTTTCGATATGTCTACCAATGTCATAAAGGAGATGTACATTTTGACAAGGGTACGCTGTCTCTCTGTAACTCATATAACCTGGTATTCACATTATTTACACTGGTAGAGTATATAGACCATGTTCTTTAAAGATTGCTCACATTTTAATGTTTGATTACTGACATGTTTGAACATGCATGGAGAATTTTTGGTCGGGTATGCCATTGTTGTATGGATCCATCATCCTAATGTAGCTTAAGTACAAGAAAAGTTGGACTATTCATAATTCTTCTATGCCCATACATTACAAAGTAATGAATTATAAAAGTAGAAGACTTAAAGATGGATCGTATCCTAATTTCATGTAGAGTAGCTTGTCAGTTTTTTTGGATCATATCCTAATTGTATGTACTGTAGTTCAACTGGTACCAAACTGATTTTCTTTTATTTACTTTCTATGGAAGGAAATCTTTGGCGTGAAACATTTAGTCCTCTTTCGGATCTTATGTGTGCTATTTGTTTACAGTCTATGTTCTTCCCTTTTGGTTGCATTTATATGTTATGTATCAGAGCGTGACCATTAATATTAATATTGTTCAGGGAAAGATTCCCTTAATCGGGTGTGGGGGCATCAGCAGGTAAGATCAGAATAGCCCTTCGCTCTTGTTTTCGTTGACATCTATTATTCTTCATTTTTTTGAAACCAGAACTTGTTCATGCCATTGATTTAGTGGCGAGGATGCTTACAAGAAAGTACGAGCCGGTGCAAGTCTTGTTCAGCTTTATACAGCATTTGCTTACGGGGGACCTGCTCTCATCCCCCAGATAAAGGTATTTTCTGGTGCTCTCATTCTGCGGAAACCCTAATTTTTGGCCTATTGTCAAAGACGTGCATCTAATACTCTTGTCATCTTCTTTTCTTCCTCTCTGTCTCTCTTAGGCTGAATTGTCCGAGTGCTTAGAAAGGGATGGTTACAAGTCCATCAGTGAAGCAGTTGGTGCAGATTGCAGATGAGTTTGCCCCATGTATGGCAACGTCGAAAGTATAACAAAAGATATACGCGGTGCACACATTTGTGGCGCAAGCAAATTCCTACACTGCACGGTGTAAATTTTGGTTTTGAACCGATTTTATTTTGTTTTTTGAGAGGGGGTCAGAGAGGACCCGCAAAGTTTGAGAAATTTTGGAAGAGGCATTTGTATGTACATATTCAAATCCATTGTGTTTTATTATTGAGTTATTGCAGGCGTAGACGTGCTGACACATCCACAGAAGAATAAGAAGTTGCTTTATAAACAAGAGATGGTGGGGTAGGGTTTTCAAACTGAGAACTTCGGACGCATAGATAAATGTTCTTAATTAATTGACTTACAGAATGTTTTACCAACTTTTATTTTCTGTGCGCACCTCGTATAAGCACCATCATTTTAATCTTGAACCAAATGGATGTAAGATGTACATCTGACCTAATCCTACCAAAGAAAAAGGAATATACATATTTTTTTTTTTCCATCAACCACAATGTACCTGCATACAAAGAAGTTCCTCAGTGATGGAGCTACTCACATCTGGCGACCATCTTTTATTCAGAGAAATCCTTGAAATAAAAATAATGTTTTCCCCTATTACTACTATTTCCAACACGCTCAATCACTTTGATCAAAAGCTGCAATCTAGTACTACGGTCTAATGATATTCCTCCTCATTTGTAAGTGAGAGGTCATAAGTTTGATTCTCACCAAAGACGAATTTGAATCACATTATTACTAGCCCATTGTGAGGCTAAACTCACCCCTTCCCCTTAATTTAGATATATTATTTGTTAAAAAAAAAAAAAAAATCACTTTGATCAAAAGCTTATATTCCTCGAGTTTTTTACTCTCAATCACTTTTCTCACCCTACTCCACACTTGTCATTTGAGAGAATTTTCGGTAAAGTTTTCTAATTAGATTAGCTTTCACATTAAGTGAGACTAGGAGGAAACAAATGAGGCTAAAATTTAAGAAGTCTCATACCTTTGTAAGGAGCCGGGATCGGACGGTTCATGGTCTATATACTGACCGAGTTTTCTTCCATTTTTCCTAGGTCAAATAACTGACTGATTTTCCTTTAGTTTAGCAAGTAGCAAGGACAAACAAGAAGTCGGTAGCTTGTAATTCATACCTCGTCCATGTTTTAAGTTTTGAGCTCACTTAACCAACCTTATCCATCCACTTGGTACATGGTCAACCGTTCCATGCCACATAAAATATTATTTATGGTTGCAGATTCGCATGGTTTTGTTCGAATGTTCGATTCCACAATATTTTTGTGATTTTTTTTTCTTTTCCGATCGATATTTAATTCCATGCACATATTAATTATATAGGGATTAATAGATTTTTGTTGTTGTTAGTATATAGAGATTGATAGATCGCAATTTGTACATATACACGTCAGTAAATACCATTAGGCTAATTCACAATACACTTTTTTTTTTCTTTCGATTTCTTGAAATTTCTATTAGGACAATATGATGATTCAGCTGCATGGTTGACCACCTGAGCCGCTCCTCCGCCTCTTCACCACCGGGAAAACTTGGTGAAAACTGCCTTGTGCCGCCGCCACATGCCACTCTTCCACCACCCCATCTAACTCAAACTGGTGCACCACATCTGAACCCTCATATATACAACCCTCCGGTAACCCGGCCAGCCCCCGACAAGGCGGCTTAGTTTTTCGTCGACCAGCCCCCACGGGGACGTTCCGTAGGGCCCCGCCGGCAGTCCAGTACCTCTGGCAGCCCTTACAGAAGTGCCTAGGCTGGTTAACATTGTAGTTATTAAAGTAACAAAATTTTGTCTCCATGCTTTTGCATCTTGGGCATGGTATGATCCTATCAGGCCGCTTCTCCACCGTTTGTTCATCCTTTTTGGGTTCTTCTTTTACTTGTGATGATCTGTTCTGCAGTGTAATCGTTCTCCCGAAAAGCTTAATTCCATGAACATCTTGGCCGGTTTGAACCTGAGCCATGGAATTTTTTGACAGAGAGAACAATACAAAAGCTAGAGAGAGAGAGAGAGAGAGATGATTTATGATTTGAGCGACATACACTTTGTATGGTTTAACGAAAGGTGGTGTGCTACTGCAAGTGGTTATGTATTTATAGATCGAGGAGAGTGGATAAAAGTGCTTAAATTAAAAGCCGGATTTGTATGTAAAAATCCATTTGACAGCCGCCAAGAGCTTGGGCAGGTGGTTTTGACAAAAGTTGAGGGTGAGCTTTTTGTCCACATCATTACTCCACGTCATCATCATGAAGTCTAGAAGTGGGTTCCGTCCAGTTAGGTCGCGTACAAAGTGTTAGAAGTTGTTGGGAAGCGTAAAGAGATCGATTAAAGCATGTCTCGCTAATGAAAGTTGTAGCTGTGTACATATTCTACCCTAAAAAAGTTTATGGAGAAAAAAATCGATAAAGTAAAAGTGCTTCGTGTTTTTGCTTTTGAGAAATCTTCATGCATTAGGGTTTTTGCTTTTGGCTGATTAAAAACATATAAATAATATCAATGCGACATCTAATTAGCTCGCAACTGTAAGCAGTGCTGGTGAAGCTCTATAAGTGGAAAACTAATATAAATCAAACTTTCGAAGAAAAGAGGAAAAGGAGAGATTTTAGTTAGGTGGTCCTAAAAGCTATAGCTTGCAAACATGGGTGGAGAACAAGGGGTCTTGAACATGCATGCATGCTCCCCCGCTTTTGTAATTTGTGCCCTTTTGCTCTCAGTGGCACTTGCGGTATGGTGCTAACATGACATCAAAGGTGCCAATTACAGTATATTTCACCCGGATATGTATATCAGTAATCACTTTTAAGATCTATAATGATTATCTGTTGGATATTGAATCGATAGTAAAGGTCCAATAAACGAGCAAAAAACTTGTCATGGTTATCCAATCATGTTATTCGTACGTAATATATTTCTCACAAAAGCATGAAATCATCTGTATTTTTTAGTCTTATTTTAATGTTTTATCTAACAGTGATCTTATGCAGTGTGAAAGCTACTAATCAGGCGACGTTACCGAAATTTGCTTGTAGTTGAGCAAGGCAAGATCATTCAATCTTTAAAAAAAAAAAAAGGGTAAAGACTTTAAGTAATTGATGATAGTTTTATGTTACAAGGCAAATGCAATTTTTTTGCGTATGAACTAATTATTGGTCTGTTGGGTGAGATTATTCTCACTTGTGATGATATTTCTTTTTTCAATGTTGGAAGATAGTTCTATTTTACCCTCTATACTAATAAGTGCTACTACTGATAATAATAATGAATAGAACTATATACACACATGCCTTTGGAAGAAAAGAGAAAAACTATGCACATATACATGCCTTGAATAATTTTTGTTGTCCTGCCAAATTCTGCCAGCAGTGAGCTAGCACATATGCCTCCTAGGAGGGGTGAGTGTCTTACATATATATTACTTTAACAAACCATGGAGATCACTTGTGAAATTTTATATCAATTAGGCGATGTTTAAGGCATGTTATTGTCATTAAAGTGGGATACTTGTGCTAATAATCTAATGTTATTGCTGAACACTTTGTTTCAAAGCCATCTTTTCGGGTTTCAATGGATTTGATGATTAACTTTGTTGCTTCCTTTTCATCACACTTGACATTGTACGCTTTGTGGTCCAGGGCAGCTTTATGTTAAGGGGATTCTTTCAAGAGTGGGACTCTCTGACATTTTATAATTTAATGTCAATTTTCGTAGTAACATTATAAAATATTGTGCCAAAAGGATAGGGTGGCAGATCTACATGCAAAGTCTTACTTTTGAAAGTCTCATTAACATTTCTCGGAGAATTATCATAAAAAGCAATGCGAAAATGGGATTTCTTTAATAAAGGAATCTTTAATTAGTTTATGCAAAAAAAAGAACCTCATTTCCAACACTTTTTCTAACTTGTATGATGCAGACAAAGTAGCACAATTCCAACACTTTTTACTTGGAATGAAATGCATGCAAATTTTTCTTTATGATGCTTTCCAAAGTCCCTTTTAATCAAAAGAATAAGGGATATGTAAAGAACAAAGTGATTTGGGTGCATCATTTTTATGGTTGGGGTACCTCTTTTTTAGGGGTAAAACTGCCTTTCTTGTGTGCATGTAAAGATAAAAAAAGCATCAGCGGAGTAATATTAGAATTTCTTTTCTTTTCTTTTCTTATAGCGATTTTAGAAGTTGCATGTTCGTATTATTTCATTTAGTGTTTTTATTATAAATAGTCTTTAAAATTGGCATAATTCATTATTTTCAGTCCACGTGACCACTTTTAATGCTAAAATGGACGGAAATTGAACATAAGGACCAAATTGATTTGTGGCAACTAATTTCAAGGACTAAATTGATTGATTTTTAACTTCATGACTAAAATGAGGAGTTATACAATTTCAGAGACCATTCATGATAAAATCCCTTCCATTAATTAGTCCAACGTAATTTGTATTTGACAGTGTTGGAGCAGAAAAATTCATCCTTTAAATTCTCCAGCAAGTAACCTTGTAATTCTGTTGCGAAATAACATGACACCATCTTCGCTTGCCATCAACGAGAGAGCAAGGAAACGAGTGAGTACTTGTAAGAAAACACTACGACGCTCAAGTTATTGAGCGTCGATATTTGCAGGAGAATTTCATAATAACTTTATACATTTTTCATCTCCTTGTAGTGAGATAATTGACCTTTATATAAGCATTGAAGTCTGAAACTCCAAGTCCCACTCTCCTATTTCTCCATGTTCTGTGTAGTGGGTATTAGGTTGCTTGGTTATAGTACCCCACTTTCTCATGTTTAGGCGTTTTGTGGCTTGATTACATGGGGAGTAATTTTTTATTTCCACGTACAAGCAATTACTTTGGAAGCCAAAAATTACTCCCCACGTTTGGCATTAGGAACCCTTCCATTAATTAGTTCCAATTTACCTTCTTTACCTTTTTGAATAGGGTTGTCCAACCACGTCATACATAAAACACTTCTCACAGAAATACAAGATATTCTATGTGTTTTGTGTCAAATCATGTCTTAGTCAGACAACACTACTCGAGTTCCTCTCTTACATGTCCCATTGAGTAACGTTTAATTTAGTTAATTCGTCATCGCACATCTGTCACTCTTTAAGGGAAGAGAGATGTCCTCTAATGTCTAATCACATATCCCTTCTTGTTATATCTTTTAAAATATAGCTAATCTAGTGTGAGTTGGAAAGATTAGCATTAAGCATAGCTCGTTGCTTTGTTGTTAGGGTTTTTTAATTCGTAAGCACGTTTTTAATCCGTAAGCAAGTTGCTTTAATCAATGATAAAAAAAAATGTCTTCTGTTCGTTGTTCATTTATATATTAAATATTGAATTCAGTGTGCCGGTTGGCTGCAATGCCAGCTAGAAAATTAGGATTTTTCTTTAAAAAATGTATTTATTGTCCACAAACCATGTAAGTTCCAATGGCAATAACATAAACTTTTTAGCCAAAATGATTTGTAAGATTAATATAACTTGTTACTTTGATTCTTGACAATAAAAATTGATAAAAATGATCATGAGTTCTTCTACAATAAATCATTCTGGTGTTTCTGTGAAAATTCTGTCAATTCAGATTAGCATAACTCCTTATTTTAGTTCATAAGATTTAAAATCAATAAAGTGGTCCATGAGTTTGTCTACCATCAATCATTTTGATTCAGCAACGAAAAATTTCTATCAAATAAAAAACAAAATAACAAAAATACCCTTAATTTAATAAATTAATATACAACGAGCCAAAATGATTTGACAAAAATTGAGAATATTTTGTCATTTTATCCTAAGTTACCAAGATTTTTTTACATAATAACCAAAAAGTTTGACGACGGACAAACTCAATAACCACTCCTATCGATTTTAATTTCAGGACAGAGTGAAAAATTATACCACCTTACGAACCGCTTTGGATAAAAAGCCTTCTCAAAATAAAATCAGTACAAGAAGAATAGATCGATGTATGTAATCAGGCATTTATGGCATTTTGTATAAACGATTGCCTCAAATATGTAAAGATGATCATGTACTCTCAACCGGACAACAACTTATCTCATCTTTCCACCTGAAGGAATCAATCAAAATACTTCACTGGATGGATACAAGATTGGCGTTGGCCCCTACACCTAATTACACAAAGAAACTGAAATTATTCACACATATTTAACACAGCCTCGGCCAAGTTTGTGGATTGCTTCTCCTGGGATGGCACAAACCGCGGCTGAATCAAGTGTCACTCCAGGTATCGTCATCGCTCCCAACAGCCTGATAAGTTTTGATAAAATGTCAACTTGGTTGCTGTGATGCAAATAATGAGAATGGACAAAAGGCAAAGGAAAGAAAAGAGGTACAGGGCAATGGGGAACCTGGCGAATGGCGTTTGCTTTCTCCAAAATTGCGGTGACTTTGACATTGGCGGCAGGTGCTGGGGTGGCGGCTGCCTTTGCTGGCACTGTGCGTCTCAGGTTGAATGACTGGAAGGACATAACAAGAAACGAGCACGAAGTTAGCAATAGTTTCTTTGTTACTTAATCTACTCTAGTCTAGTTTGCAAGGTCGCAACAGATGAAAGCAAAGCTTTACTACAAGATGAAGTCAATCTATCAAGATTTAGTACAACCAGGCATGTTCTAAGTAAATAGAGCTATGGATCTGCGGCAGCAGAAGAGATGAGAAAAATCTTGATTTGGCATGTTGATGCACATTTCACATACGAACATGAAACGCTCCAGTACAAACACAAAGTAACTTTTACTTGGAAAGCAGGCAAATGACAAGAAAAAATGGTGACTCACCTTTATTCTAATTTGTTGCAGGAAATCTTCTTTTTCGTCTATCCCTTTGCCATTTAGATCCTGATCAGCATCTTTCTGTCCATTCATGTGGTGGTCCTGCTGCAGCAAGAAGAATTTGATAATATGTCCTTACTCAGTTTCAACTCGCCAGTCGCCACTATTCCTATTTGAATACCTGTCATGCCTTAAAATAATAGGATTGAACTAAAATACATGATACCTTGTCTTGCGGTTTAATGGAATCCTCATTCATTTGTTGTTGCTGTATTGGTGCTGGCTTAGGTTGCTGGAGGGTGACAGACCCCAAAAGTTCTGCATTTAATGCATGTCTAAAACCTTTGAATACATATTTTTCTTCTGCAACATTCAAGGATGGTTTTGAAGCACGCCATTCCACTGGAGGGAGAGGTGGTGATCCTGGTGTATAATCCTCTGAACATCTCAAACCAGGGAGATCCTTTGGACCTGAATCATCTTTTGCTTCTTGCTGAAGTACAGGTTCTAAAGCATTGAAACTTGGAAGATCAAGTAGAGGATCAGAGAGAGAATGTTCCAGACCATTCTCAGTGTGCACACTTTTACTTCCACCATCACCATAAGTGGCATTATGGGATATTCCGTCTAGTACTGGGGAGGTGGATATATGTTCCTCTGATGAGATTTCACAAAAACCATCGTATAGCTCCTCTGATGAGATTCCACATAAACCATCATATAGTTCATGGTTATTTCTTTCTAGAGTTTCACCAGATTCCCATTGTTCAGAATTCGATTCAGAGAGATGGCTATGACAATCATCTGATATATATGCAGATGATCTACAGAATGTATCATCGTCAGAATCAGAAACAAATTCATGCAGAGGAACAGCAGGTTCTGGGATCAACTGAAATGACTGAAACATGTCTCTTGCACTTTCATGGCTTTGATTTCCATCAGATAATTTCAGTTTGAGTATGGAAGTTTCAATGCCATCTACGGGATGAAAAGATATTTTCATATATTCAAGTGGTGGTGAAGAAGGAGATGAATCAACACCAATTCCATCCTCAAATGGCTCTCTGACGGATGTCTCAGGAAATGCTTGGTACTCTACTCTCTGCTGCTCATTTCTCTGGTCCAGTACACCAGCATCTGAATAACGAGTAGGCTCAGATCCGTCATCATGGACAAGTGCAATTTTTCGACCAAAATCATTCACAAGTAACCTACGGCCAAGCCCAAAAACCCAAGAAGAGTTTTCCTCTTTCTCCTGATTCGCTTCATTGGAAGTGGACGGAGCAACTGGCAACACAGTCCCAGGTTCTATCGTATGAGAATCACCAATATTACGAAGTTTTGGATATAACTCAGTGGGTGAAAATCCGTTAGGTATTTTCTTGAAAGAGATGCCATCATCTTGATTCTCAGAGCATGATATGGAGCATTTAGAACTCAAATCCTTATCATTACTGCCAGCATTCTCAACCAACGGACTATCTTTGCTTTCAAGCTCATCGACTATATGCTTGTAAGCATGATTTGAGAGATCAACTGTCTCAGTGTGATTTCTGTTAGCAGAATCTTGACTTATAGGACTTGACATGCTGAAATCAGGAGGTTTTGATGGCTGAAGTCCTAATAGGCCACCATTTGTCCAGAAATTTATTGAATTATTCCTGTAAATGTCGGCAGGGGATTCTTGAGACTCACATAAACTGCTTGTGATCTTATCCTTCACACTAGTAGTTCCAGAGCCAGAGACAGAGGGTGTTGAGTTATTCCTGGAATCGTCAGCAGGAGATTCTTGAGCCTCACATAAACTGCTTATGGTCTTGTCCTGATCGTTAGCGGTTCCAGAGGAAGGAGATGTTGAACTGCTCCTGGAAACGTCAGCAGGAGATTCTTGAGGAATATATATACTGCTTATGGTCTTATCCTGCAAGTTAGTAGTTCCCGAGCCAGAGGATACTGAATCACCACTAACAGATTCTAACCTTGAACCATAAAAAATGTCAGCTCTATTGGTGCCTACAGCGTGGTTTGGATTAGAAGGTTCCATGTCTATCTGAGGCACCTGCTTATGTATGGGACTCTCTAACAAGGCTGAGTTTGGCAGATCTGTCGGCACTTCTACTTCGGAGGAAATGTAAGACGTTGAAGTATGAGATTCAAAAATTGGAGTTTGATCGTCCGAACAATCGCGTGTAGTCTCATGCACACCGTATGGTCCTTCATTGTTGACAACAGAGGCAATATGTTCCACTTCTCGTTTTGTTTGACAATCAAGATCGGTTTCAGATTCTGATTCAATGATGTTAAGCGCATCCATGAAATTGTCTGGTTCACTTTCAATTTCATCAGTCTGGTTCCCGCTCGAGATTGATTCCACAATGTTTTCATCATCAAAGAGGGCATCCATTCGCTCAATAATTCTAAAGTTACCAGCTCCTGCTTCATGTGCATCCAAGTTATCTGTTGTTGGATGCGTCTCTGTAGTTTCATCTATACCATTCTGTTGACATTTCCGATCCACTATCTCTGTTTTCTCATCCCAGTTAACACAAGATGAACCAGAGGTAACTTGGTCCTGTAATGAACTTCCAGGAGAGTTATCATCTACAAATCCAGTTGGATCCGCAGGTGAGACAGAATCAATAGTATCAACATGTTGCACCAATTTAGAAGTAGGTGATTCCTTGGATTCATGTTCTTCGCCTTGCATGGAGGAACTTGGATGGGCAGCATACTCAATATATCCCGACTCAGTTCTTGAATCAAAAGAAGTGGAATTGTCCCCCAGGTCAGATTTCAATGCCACGTCGGCTGTGGAGGCAGTTTGAGAAGACGAGCTTTGCCCATTTACAATAGGAGAAATATATTGCATTCTGCATGGTCAGACATCATAAGTATTTAGTTCCATTTAGTCAAAGATGGGAGCCACTTGTTACTTATAGATTTATGCATTAATTAGAGACTTCCTCTATGTATGCATATGTGTGTGTAAACATATAGGATACCTGCTACTGCGATTAGATGCTGATGCACCACGCAATACATCTCCTTTACGTTGTGATCCTCTTTTCTTCTGTCCATTTCAACATTTTAATTAGAAAAATCCCAAGTGACAGAACCATTGAGGTACTTAGAAGATAGAATAATCCAACAAAACATTACATACAGATTACAGATAGCAGAAAATCAAACTCTGATCAAGAAGAAATTGATGTGAGAGGCCATTGCACTTCACTATCTTAACAATGATAAAATATGCTTGCATCTATCTGTCTTAAGAAAACTTTGGAGCCATACTCATCCACAATATTGCATATGAAAGCATAAGCAAAGTTCGTTCAAATAAGAAATACAGATTCTCTGCTTGGGATGAAGCACTAATGTCTAAGAGTGGGCAAGATTTGGGATGGTTTAGGTTGGGCTCCAGTCAGAACCGACCGGAGATTACCAGGTTGTGACTTTTCAAAACCCAAAACCAAACCTAATAGAAACCGGTTAAGATGGGTTGGCAATAGGTTGCAACTTATGCTTTGGGCATTCTTTGATACCCTATTAAATAGCCACTTCTGACAGTGATAACTTGGATGCACATGAAGCCGTTGAAAAAGGTTGGTGCATACCTTGCTTCTTTGAGCCTTCCTAGACCTTCGGACTTTTTCAACATTTTCTTCATCAGGGATAGCAGATGCTTTTTTGAAAAAGGTTGGATCTGAATATCTCTTCAAACAAGATCCTGGGCCACCAGTATCAAATCTGAACAGTAAAGGAAATAATTCCATCATGTACCAGTTACTATAAAATTTTAAACCACTTGTACACCAATTAAGGTGAATAAAAAAAATTTAACCACACTACCTGTACACCAATTAAGGTGAATAAAAAAATTTAACCACAAAATGTAAGCCAATTAAGGTAAAGATTTCAATCATACTTGTCCAGTAAATCCAAACGTGGACGATCCCGACATCCTTCATATGAATCCATAATAAAACGAGGCAAGTCATTGTAGATGAAATGATTTTTCTCATTTCGAATACGAGGATGCCACTGTATACCTGCAAAGCAATTGCTTTCTATTAATGATTCAATTATCAGGATAATGATGTCACACTCATGGGATAAGGACTATAGAGTATATAACAAAATAATACCCACAATAAAGAACAGATGAAACAAGGTCAATTATGAAAGGTTTGTAGTGAAGTAATCCCCTCAAAATTCAGAGTATATATAATGCTGTCCCAGAATATGTGTAGATTTGCCGCTATGGTCAGTAAGTAGTGTTATCCAAGGTTTCCAAGATATTTTAAACGTAAGATTGTATATGGAAAAAATAACCCACTTCTAAGAAAATTGCAGTTCTCTTGTTTACAAAACAATAAAAGAATACTACCACTATCATTCATTACAAAACAATATAATTCTATCTTCCTAGACTTTCCTTTAAGGATTTCGGCTTCAATATCTAGTTCTTAAATGGTTAGCAAAAACAAACCTATACAAAAATATGTAATGAATGATAGTGGTAGCTAAAACTAACCATAGATAATTCCCTTTTTACATCATAAAATAAGTTATTACATCACCAGTATTGAATTTTATGAGAACCTGCAGCTTATTTAACAAAAGTTCCGAGCAGTTTGCACAAGAGTGAACGACACCTGTTGATAGTTGTTAATAGCTGGCATATGATATACAGACATAAAGGTGAGAAACAAAAGCCATACCACTGGTGTAAGCAAAATGTATGTGGCTTGTTTGAGCAAGTACAGCCTTCTCGAGGGGAGGAACTGCAGCTTCAATGTGTTGCACACGAACCATCAGTTTATGGCTTCTAGAAGCTGTAGTCATCACTTGCTCTTGCAAGCCATGAAAGACCTCTGCTGCAAACCTACATGTTTTAAGTTACTTTCTAAGTTAGTACCATTTACTATTATATGTATACAAACAGTTGTTATAAATTATAATAGAATAATCACTAGCTTCAACCTATTGCGTTATACATTTCAGACTTGATAGCCTATACCGAAGATCCAAAATTCACATTTTGGCCTTTCACCAACCTGAGGAACTTCCACTAAGCACAGGAGATAGGAATCTCCACCCAACAAATAACTTTCAAGCAATTTCATATCCGGGGGCAAATTAAGTTTAAACTTATTTAGTCTCTTGTTGCCAATGTTAATAAAACATAAGAAGGAAAGGATCTTATTGCAGTTAGTGCCATTTTCGCTTGAAAAGAACCGAAATACCGGTCCACTACCCTAAATGATATGGAACTCAATCTCACAGCATCCAAATGTACCCAAACAGGCCAAAGTAAAGTTCAATTGTAACAGGTAACTAAGTTTCCATTACCATGATAAATCATTCCATTTTACTAACAAGAGCTAGCGAGAAATCTACTAGCACCCTATGATACGACAGCGTTACGTAAAATCTCTAAAACTAGGATATGATACGTCATAGAGACGACAGTAAAAATATATAATTTAGAACATATTTTTAACCTGAAAACATCCAAATTCAAGTTCATTCAAGTGTGAGAGTTATATTCCTTGTTTCCATTAGAGGCAAGCTCATTGTATTCATCAACTTTCAACTAAATCTTTGTTTCCTATTAATGTTCTCCTCTTAATTTCTCATTTGAAAGTGTAACGGTATCTTAAAAGCCGAAAACTCATAAGCGGCGAGTATCCGGGAGTATTGGACGAGTATCGTATCCGATGAAGTATACGGAAACGCGACCAAACTAAAGCATCCGTGCTTCATAGGTAGCACCCCAAATTGACATTACGCTGAAAATAGCTGTAACACAAGGCTACCATATTTTGCAGTGATAAAAACACCAAAATCAAAGAAACCTGTAAAGATTCAGGATCCAGAGCATTTTCAAAACACTTAATGGCCTTGCGAAGGTGATAATTCATGCCAATCCCCATATAACGCAGAAAGAAGAAAAAAAACCAACTTTACGACTTGTAATATATAATCCCACAACTAATCCAAAAGAACATGTAATTACCAATGATTTGTCAGCTATTTTCAAAAAATAATAACCATTACGCAAAACCCAATTTGCTAAATTATAAAAGTTACCAAATTGCATTACTTCAACAGAACTTCAACGCCAAAAGAAGTAAACTTTAGATTGAATGAGCTGAACCCAGATACAAAAATACACAGAAAATGGAAGAAAATGCAAAAGGGTGGTGAGAAATGAACTGCCTGAGTAAAATTGGAGCAAAGGAAGGGGCAAACTTACTCGGCAAGATCACCCAACTGGCGCAAGATCCCGACGAGGCCGGAGACGGCGACGCCGTCGAGCACAGCTTTGGGATCTTCTCTGTTCACCTCCTTGTACAGCTGAGGCTGCCCCAAGCTGTACTCGTTCCGCACCTGAAACCTCACCAGCGGCATCTCTCGCTTAATTACTCTTCCAGCTGATGTTCTCTTGCTCTCAGAAAATCCGAGAATATGTTTTCATAGCAACCAAGCAGGCTTCAAGCTTTTCAAATAACACGCAAATTGCAATGAATGAAGGAATGGAATTGGAGAGAGAGAGAGAGAGAGAGAGAGGAGAGAGAGAGTAGGTGGTGGGATTGAATTGAAGCAGGTTAACTGCCGAGGGCGAGAGAGAGGGAGAGAGACAGAGACAGAGAGAGAGACAGAGACAGAGAGAGACTGATTTGTGAGTGCGAGTGTTTCTGTGTCGTTTGGAATGAGAAAGGGAGAGGCGACATTGCCAACTCTGCAAGCCATTCTTTGGGTGCAATAGAGAAATCATTGTTGAAATACCATAAATACCCTTACGTGTTGATATAATTACATGGTGAAGTGTACTTTGAGAACTCTGATGCATTTCAAAAATATGAAGGGTAAAAGTGGAATTTCGTTAGGTTCTTCTGGTTTTGTATCTTTTTCAATTCTGGCTACAGAAAATTGCGTGATGGAAAGGAAAGTGACATTTATAAATGTGGATTAAATGATTATATGATTATTATTTTTAAAAAAATGAATTTAAAGTTGTACTGTCCACAAAATTTCATTTATTAAATTCTTAAAATAATTATTGAAAATTTAGTTTTTAATTTCGGTAATGTATGTCGCGCATTGATGTATTCTATAATTTTCTCAAGGGTCTTTGACTTTGTTAGCACCAACGGTCATCAATTGCACTAAGGCAGTTTTAACCATGATGGGAGCCAATCTGTTGCTAAACGCACTTTCTTTGTAGCTTTAGACATGGCTAGAAAAACACAAGGTAGTTTTTTTATTTGATGGTATTTTAATCTAATCTAAATTACATTAAGTAGTATTTGAACTTCTATACAAAGAAAAAAATACACTGATCTCGTTAACTTAAGTAAGTCCAAATACGCTACACAACTAGATTTTTCTTTTTCTCATTATTTACTTAGTATGCAGTAGGTCAAAATTTAGCATGTTCTTTTATTCGCTTTCCTTCAACCTTTTGGTTGGGGATTGATTTTGTCAATTTAGGGCTAAATGCGACTTTAGCCGAGATGACCTAACAAACATTAAGGTCCCATCTTCTGTCAGTCAATGGGGTTGACTCACCTCATCTCCATCTCAAATTTGGTGCGGGATTGACCTTCAACCAGCATCCCAGAATCTTAGTTAGCTTCCACTCCAACCCCCCAAAAAAATATAACAAACTGCACATTTTATTATTCAAAAACCATTTTATATTACATTTTTTAGAGGAGTAATGTTATTCATATTATGTTTTTGTACTACATTTTCATACTATTTCAAGTGGCATTTGATGTGGACAGCCACATCATTTGATTTAATCAGATTTTTAAATTTAGTTCATTATTTAATAAGAAAAATTAATGAAAATAACTTGAAAACTTTGAGTTTTAACAATAAGAACAAAATAAAAAGTAAAATGAATAGTACCAAGTTTGACTTTTTAGTGTAAAAATGTGATTTTTCGTTAAAGTGAATAGTACTGCAAGCTTTTCGTTAAAACTCCCTATTTAATAAACTAGTAATTAAGAAAAACTAGTTAATTAAATGATGATTGTGATATACGATAAGTCTTTCTCCTTCATTTCCTTGGATTTTGCAAATTTTCCAAATAATATGGTTGTCCATATCAGATCCCACCTAATATGGTATAAATAGCATTACTCTTTTGAGAGTATTTTAGTATGAAAGTTATGAGACCGAGTCCTAGTACATTGCAATTCTACCTAAAATATAAATGAGATCACGAGTCTTGTATTATATTTGAGGTGGAATAAATACGTATTACTACACTGCCACCAAAGATAGTAGCGGCTTCGTGGCGGGTCTTCCACGCTACCGCCCGAAATATTCAACCATCAATATCGGTCGACGGTCACTGTTGCAGTGCAATGCTTATAGTATGAGCAGCGTGGCAGACCGAGTAATACTTTATATCATTGATTCCAAAACATGCAGCTACAATGTAATACTTTAGGCAAATATTTGCATATAATTATTAATTAGGAACAAAAGAATGCCGCAATACAATGCATGATTAAAGTTGTTAAAATGCTAACGAGGGTTGGTTCAGTTAATACATGCGTGCTTGTGATTAACTTCTAATTCAAGTTTGATCTTCGATGACAGTAATTCTCGACTTAAGATTCTAGGTATGCCATGGCAAACAGAAGTGGACTATTTTTTGTCATTGAATGACAGTATGGCACTACAAGTAGGAGGTGACGCTATTTAATTCTCTAGTTCTGCATCTTCTGCTGCATGCCCAAGGAGAGATTAAATTTTATATTTGATGGCCCATATGAAGTATGGTCCATAGTTCAAAATTAGCCAACACACCATAAATCGATGCATGCATTAATTAGCTTCCAATTGTTTTTATATGATTACTAACATGAACATGATGTTGTTATTGACGCTTTGTAAAAATTATTTAGTACTCGTTTTTTAAATTACTAGAGTAAACTTGTATTAACTCGAGTGCATAACGACTATATCAGAGTGCGATAATAGTAGCGTTGAAGTCAAATAATAAAGTTCAAGTCAAATTGGTTTACATAGTTATATCTTGAATAAATTAGGGTTAGAGTTTTAATTAGCTTCCTATTCTTTGTGTCATAAGGAAGAGTGAAACTCGAATTAATTCCTAGTCGTTAAGGGGTTTTTGCATGGAAAACGACAATTTCATGGGATTTAATAGTCTAGTCATAAGCTCATTAGGGTTTCTAGTTGTGGATACGTGAAGCCTAGATAAGTTTGAAGTTTCTATGCATAGTGTCAATAGCATCTCCAAAAAATATATCAACAATGCCAAATAGGCAATAATACATTGAGTTAGTTTAACAAAAATTTAAAACTTCTCTCGAAGACGTTAGTAATATATAAAGCTAGCGAGCAAAGGTCTGTCGTGGGACAGCCTGCTGCCAATCCCATCTTTATTTCAATGAATTGAAATTGTCAGCATTCAGATATGCATGTACTGCAGATTTGCGGAGTTGGTGGGCTAAATATTTGCAATTAAAGTTTTAGGCCTCCTCTGTCCACGTTTACCACCAGTCTGAAGATGCTCACATGCATGAATCATGATCACCAATGAACAAGGTTTTCCATCTAAACTCAAGTTCCCAAATTGTTCACTTTTACTGAGTTTGGTTATAATGCTACGTACCAAGTTAGCCGTTATAAAAAAAATGCATATGGTCTAATATTTTAATAAATAAGACGTTAGGTTTTTACTCATATATCTCGAGTTCAAAACTCTTAATTTATTAAATTATTGTAATAATTTTGAACTCTTTTCTCTCGCCTTAATAATAATAAATTTTGTTTAAAAAAAGAAGCGTTGCAAAGAATATTTAGGGCTCCTTTGGATGTGCTTTTAAAATGACTGAAAGCGCTTTTAAAGAACATATTTTGGGTTTCAAAATCACTTAAAGTGTTTTCTGCAAAAAGTATCAGTTATGTGCTTCTTTCAAGAAGTAGTTTAAGTGCTTTTCCAGAATCTGCTTGCATCTTTACTAATGATTGGTTCAAAAAATATTTTCATAAAAAGCGTTTTCAGTCATTTTAAAAGTACATTCAAACAAGCTCTAAATTTCTATATGCAAGATTTAACTTATAATTTTTTGGACCATTCTGGGTGTGAAAAAATGTATAGGATACAAATAGAATTAACTTTGGAACATATATGTGGGTACACAACGCTGGCTAGCTATACATGGCAGGATTGGGCCAGCAATTGCTCTCCTTCCTTGTCTTATGACCAATTTAGGAAAGTTTGGTTCCCCTGCATTTATTGGGGATACAGTTCCTCCTTCATTGAGAAGACTTAAGTCTTTCAAACTGAACAAAACCAAACCGTCTTAATAGAACCAATTTCCGGTTTGACAAAATCATTACCGACATAATTAAATTCGAGTCTATGTCGCATTATCTATCTACTCAAGACATACATAACATTATGTTTGGATAAATAAATTTAACATTACTAAGAAATTTTAAAATGACGAAAATTGAAACGAAGAGATTTTACTTTTTAGAATTTGTGAATTTTCTTGTTTGGTTAACCTAAAAGAATAATGGAATTGAATACGGAATTTGTTATTTTTAAACTCTCAATCATAGAAATTGGGAAATAACGTCTATTTATATGGAATTTAAACTTGGGAATTGAAGGTCCCAAATTCCAAGTTTTTTTTTTCACGAGGAAATTCTAAATTTCTATGTTTATGAATCCAAACAAGGGAATTGGTGCATGTCAATTTATAAATTCTAACTTTTATCCAAATTTCAAGTTTATTTTCCTTATCCAAACATAGTATAAGTCAAACGAAGACCCCCTAAATTCAAGTCCACAAAAATGGGCTCGCGTGAGATCCTAAGAGCAACTCCAATGTGACAAAGGCCCCCTAAGGCAACTTCTTATTCAATCCCCTCTAGTGAACAGTAACTGCATTTTGCATTTCCACCTCTAAACTGAATAGCCATGGAATAGGCAATAAAATATTAGTATTTTTTATTTCATAAAATAATACAAAATAATTTTATTTGTAATTTCGGATAAGATTTTTAATCGTTCTTGTTGTGCCACGTGTCATTATCCGAAAAGACAATTTTTGGTGGTAGATTTCGATAAGATTTGTATCCAATGTCGTCGTGCCACATGTCGTCACCTCTTCAAAATCGTTGAGGATAGATTTCGATTAGAATTTTAACGAACGACGGCATGTCATGTGGCATTATCTACAACATAATCCTTTCTTTTTCCTCCTTATAACCCACCATCCATCCTAAAAAATCACACACCAAAATCAAAATCTCTATCATTATTCATAGTTTATGCTTCCTTCTTACAATGTCTTCTTCAAGGATGTTGTGGGAAATCGATGAGCAAGAGAAAGAATTGTTTAAGCAATGGGAAGAAATGTTCAATCTCCAGATGGGTGAAAATGAGATGGAATAAGAAGAGGATGAGGAGCGTGGAAGGAGAAATGACGATGCAAGAAGCCAAAGAGCCTTACATTCCCGTCGAGTCATCCAAGTTGTGGCGCAGATCTCTAGGCCCAGCCATTCCACAAACATTGATGCAAGTAGGCAATGACGAGGTACGGATCTCTTGGCGATTATTTTGTTCGTAATAGTGCATTCCCTGATACGTACTTTAGACATCGTTTTAGAATAGAACGACATTTGTTCAACAAAATTATGATTGCTGTTTGCAACCATGATTCTTACTTTG